ACACACACACACACACACACACACACTCCACCAGAAGGAAGAGCAGTAGCTAGATCCTCCCCTCACGAAGTAATGCCTAACGGCGGTTTCCATGAGGGAATAGAGGAAAGAGGAAAGGGGTTTAGGGTTTAGTGGGTAGGGGCGTCAGCGTCGAGTTTTAGTATGACGCTGCGTCGAGTCGCCACATATCCGGGCCAACATCTATGCCTAGAATCCGTAAAAAGGATTCCCCCCCCCCAAAAAGAAAAAAAAAAACACACACAAACACAGCTCGAAATCTGGGACATTGACGGCGAAACAACCAAAGACGATGTCCGGATGGCCTTAAAAGAGGCAGCTTAAACGACTACGAGATACCAGTAAATGTCATTAAAATTCGTCCGGCCTACAGAGGTACCCAGACCGCTTTGGTACGATTGCCAGCAGCAACAGCGCAGAAGGTAATCGGAGAAAGAGGCAAGATACGGATTGGCTGGGTGAATTGCCGTGTCAGAGCAGTGAAGACTCCACTACGATGCTATAAGTGCTGGCACTTTGGGCACACTACTGTCCAATGTAAAAGCAAAGTCGATCGATCTCGACTTTGCATCAAGTGTGGACAAACAGGTCATCAAGCTGCTCAATGCCCAAATAATGTGAAATGTGTGTTATGTGCAGAAAAACCTGGCTCTTAGAATACTGCTCACTAGTCTGGTTCTGGTCGGTGCCCGGTTTCCCAAGAAGCACTCCAGAAGCTGACAAGTAAACGAACATACTGCAGCTGAATATCAATCACTGCGAAGCTGCGCATGACCTGCTTATGCAGACAGTACGGGAATTAAAGCTCGACCTTGTGCTTTTATCGGAGCCATATAAATATTTAGTTGGCCAACCTTGGGAGACGGATGTCACCACCAAAGCTGTGATCTGGACCTGTGGTAAGTTTCCCTTCCAGAGTGAGGTTAACAATGGCAGCACTGACTTTGTAGCAGCATCAGTAGATGGCATCCGTTTCTACAGCTGCTACGCACCACCTAGCCTCTCCATTGCTGAATTTACTGACTTCTTGGATCGACTGACCGAGGACGCGAAGCAACATCATCCAGTGGCGATAGCCAGGGGTTTTAACGCCTGGACAGTGGACTGGGGCATTCAACAGACTAATGCACAAGGAAGAGAACGATTAGAAGCTTTTTTTACACTAGATGTAGTTTTGCTCAACAGTGGCGACACGCCGACCTACACCAAAGGCGACGCAAGCTCGATTGTAGACCTCACTTTTGTCAGTACCAGCCTTGCTAAAGGTAACCACAACTGGAATGTACTGGACATCTACACTGCCAGTGATCATTATGCGATACTCTGGGAAACATCAAACGACCAGAACCTCAGGGAACCTATCAAGCAACCTAACATCG